TCTCTTTCATCACAACACACAACCCTTTGTGTAACCTCAGTGGTGCTTAATAAGTAACTTGCCTTATACACATTTTGAGTTGCTTAAATTTAATAATACTTATAATTGACCAGATGTTCTTAAAATAGTTTGCTGTCTCATATGACTCGACATTCACATTAGGAAAACAAAGACTGTTTTTTTCTTTTATTGTGCATTGTGATTCTTTTAGCAAATTCCTATCGCAAGTTCGCAGCTGTTCAATGTTTGCAGAATCATATTCAGGCCATCCTGTGTGTAGGGAAGCTCTGTGATGGGCTTAGACAATATATACACTTTTTGTTGTTGTTGTAAAATGTGCCCTGTTGTTGTTGTCACCATATGAATTGTGGTTTTGAGCACATCTCAAAGGCTGTGTACTCTAGACGGGAAAGAATCTGATGTGCCTGGACAAATTTGACCAGCTTCACGTCCAGCTTGCAGGGCTGGGGTAGAAGTGGGAGGTGAAGCTGTGGGCTGACTTGTGCCCACAGCAGTGGGAAGCCACTGGGGGCCATGTGGAAATCATGGTCCAGGACAGGAACAAAGGATGCCGGGCAGGTCAAGCCCTCCAAGCTGTGTTAAGGGTCACATAGGAGAAGCTGTAACCAGGAAAATATGCCCAGCCCAGAAGCCAGGAATAGAGAAGTCTTAGTAACAAGCAAGACGGGATAGGGCAGTGGTCTGGGATAGAGGCTGCAAGTGGTTTATGGGGCAAGAAGCCATTTACATGATGTTGCCCTGTCTGGGACTTGGAGTGGGGTGGGAGATTCAAGGACTCTGTGAAACAGGTTGCTATAGGATGGATTGTGTTAATCCTCACTTGGACAGTATTAAAGGTGAGAAGTCCTGTTATGGTAATTGAAAGGTGGGGCCTTTAAGAGGTGGTTAGATTGTGAGGACCGTGCCCTAGTGAATGGATTGATCCATTCATGGAGTTATAAGTTAATGGTTTAATGGATTGTCATGGGTGTGGTTCTGATGGCTTTATAAGGAGAGTAGGTGAGCAGATTAGCTGTCTCTCTCTCAATCCATTTGACATGTGACACTCTGTCACCACCAAGAACAAGGCCATTATAAGTTAATGGTTTAATGGATTGTCATGGGTGTGGTTCTGATGGCTTTATAAGGAGAGTGAGTGAGCAGATTAGCTGTCTCTCTCTCAATCCATTTGACATGTGACACTCTGTCACCACCAAGAACAAGGCCATCATCAGAGGTGTTCCCTGTGCTTGGACTTCTCAACCTCCAAAACTGTAAGAAATAAATTTCATTTCTTTATAAATACCCAGTTTTAGCTGTTCTGTTGTAAGCAACAGGAACTGACTGGTACACTGGTTAAGCTCTAGAATTCCGACCATCCTGAGATGCGTTCTGGGGTGATGTCTAGTCTTGGACCACACTGCACAGCTGATGGTAGAGCAGGAGGCTTTAGGAGATTTTGGTGTTTGCTTCTTCCAAATATTTCAGCCATTGGATTCATCTTCCTGAAAGACTATTTGTATCATATCATTTTTCTGCTCAACAAGTTTTCTTCTCCCTTTAGTCTGTATAAGTTAATGTCCAAGTTCTTTAACCTGATGTATAATAATGACTTTCACTTACCAAGCTCATAATGTGTCCCAGGAACTTTAAGTGTACTACTTCTTACTGGCTCTTCACGAATCTACATGGGAAATGATGGCATGTAGGTTTCATAGAGGGGAAAATCTCAAGTTCATAGAGGTTAAGTAATTTCTCCAAAATCACATAACCAAGTGGCAGAACAAGAATTTGAACCCAGGTCTGCTTGATTCCGAAGTGTGAGCTCTTTCCCCTAGAACTTTTGCTACAGTGCCCTACAGAATCTGGACCCTGTAACTTTTCAACATTGTCAACAACATCCTGTCCCCCACTCTGCAGGCTGGAGAAGCCAATTAGCAGCTGCTGTCCCCTTGGGGACATTTTCAGCCTTGAGTAATTTCTGAAGCCCATCGCAAGCCTCAGTGCTTCAGTTTAAGGTTTGGGATCCCTTTTGGGGCTAGCTAACATTCTTACTCAAAATATAATCACCACTTTGTACAGTGAATCTTAAAAGATGCTACTTGAAAAAAAAATTATTAAGGATTAAAACAGAAAAAGATACAGAGAAATACAAAGAAAAAAATCATGGCCCATGAGCTCAGGACCCAGAAAACCCTTGTGGACATTAAAATAATAATGATAATAATGAGAATTAAAAAAATAAGTCCAAGGTGCAGAGAAATGTTCCAAGTGAACATGACCTCGGGCAGGAGAAGCCCTGATGTTTGTATTCCTTACTCTCCCAGAGAGTGACCCCCACAAACCATCTTACTCTTCTGGGCCTGTTTTAAGCCAAATTCTGGTGCTTGTTTAAATTATCTTCAAGTCTCCAACCAATGCAAAAATCACTTGAATGTGTTTCACAGAGTCCTTTTGTAATAAAGGAAAATACACTGACTTTGGACTAAGTTCATCACAGGCACCAACTGCTTTGGGAAGAGGCAATTGTGCCTGCCCTGCACATTGATCACGTGTCCCCAGCGCAGACCCCCGGCTGCCCTTGCATCCCCTGGTGTGCACGAGCACTTGTGGCCAGGGTCTCCTGCCCTCGGCTGTCATGTTCCCACCACTGCTGTTTCTGCTGTGTGAATTTTCAGGATAGTGCAGGCTCTTCCTTTGACGTTCCGTGTATCTCCCGCTGTGCCCTGTGTAGAATTCACAAAGTGGTTTGTCCTAACTGTTCTCTCAGTGACACCCAGTGAGCTATGACTGACACAACTTGAGAAGGGGATGTAAATTAAAAAACAAAACAAACAAAAAAACAAAACAAACTCATGACAGCTCCTTGACCCAGGGATTAAGGTACACACACGACGGTAAGGCCCAGCACCTGACTGCAGAGCACAGGGACATGTCAGATTCGCTGTCACAGACGAGACATCCCGAGAAGGGGAGAAGTGGTTCTGCGGAGCAGCTACGATGTGTGGCAGCTGATTTACTCGCTGTCACAGACGAGACATCCCGAGAAGGGGAGAAGTGGTTCTGCGGAGCAGCTACGATGATGTGTGGCAGCTGATTTATGTGCGCTCACTTAATCCTTACAGCCCCTCTGGATTATGAACCCCATTGTACAGATGGGCACACTGAGGCTGGTGGTGGTGGACAGTGCACTATGATGGTTACAGGCAGAGATTGTTTGGAAGTGTCCTTCTGCCTGATGACAGAGCACAGAGCTGGCTCTGCCCCTGCCTTGCTGCCTGTCACTGCCAGCTGCTGAAGGCATGAGGTGGTTTCTTCCTCCTGCTTTGGTACCTGCCTCCCGTTCACCTGTGGGACATCCCCTCCAAGCGCAAGCCTCGTCTCCCCACCCAGTCCTGCTCTTCTGACTCCTCTACCCAGGCTCATTCTAATATTTACCTAGGGTCTTTAGCACTGATTTAGCACCTAATCATACATTGCCTTGAAATATAGGTTAACTTTTTATTTGTTAAAGGGTGTTCCTGAATTGCATCTGAAGATCTGTGGGTGGGGAACTGTCTCTCACACAGCATCTTTGAGTCTTTCCGAGATCCTAGAGCCATTTGTGTGCATTGCTGGTAGTAAGATCTGTTTTGTCTTCCCTTTCCTTCGTGTGTTCTATCTTGTTATGTGAATGACTCTGCGGTAAATGTGAAGTTGGACTAGACAAATACTCTTTTTTTTTTTTTGGCCTCACAAACTAGCCGGGGATGTAGGTATCTCTTACTGTCCAAATCTGTTTTCACTCCTCGGTTGAGAGAGTGAGTTTAGATGGGGAAGGCTACCGCATTATCTATGTCAATTTGGATCCTCAGATTTGGATAGCAAGTAATGAGTGTTCAGTTGGCCAGAGATTTTATCGGAAATTTTATCTGAATCTTACTCAGGTCTGAGTTTGGGTAGCATGAGCTTGGAGGGCAAGAGGTACTGGAATAAGAAAACACAGTCTTATCTATCACAGGTACAGAATGAGCAGCTTAAGGCTTAAATTAAGTGCCAGGGGGTTCTGGGTGAGAATTAATATCCCTAGAGGCACGGATTTGTTCATTCAACCAACAGTCAATTATTAGGGAGCCAGATGCTAAGCTAAGAACTGGAAACTCACACCTTCCCTGTCTTTCCCACACTTTCTTGCTCACTGGTTCAGGAGGCAGATCGCCCAGCAAGCAGTGGTGACATGGCGTGACCATTGTAGTAGCAGAAAAATGCATGAGGTCAGGGAACACCAACCATGGGTGGGTTAGGGTGTGGCCAGAGAATGTTTTGGGAGGATGGGGAAGTAAGGATCGTTTATTGAGTGTCCACTCTGTACCAGGCACCTTTGGGTTCACTTGACCTACATAAGTGAGCCAGTCCTCCAAAGACCCTTGCCCTCCTGAAATTTAACATGCTAGAAAATCTGCTGGGGCTGAAGAAGCAGATGGTGCTTTAGCTGTTTCTGGAGGCTCAGGTAACACTTGGGTGGTTGGATGGAAGCCAGTTGTGGAAAGGCACATTCCATATGGAAGGAACCAAGGAAAAGGACTTCGCTGACTGCTTTCCCTGGGATGCGTCTACAACAGAAACTGGAGAAGAGTCAAATGCATGCAGTAACTGTTTTTCCAAATGCTTCTCTTCCATGGGTGCTAAGTTCTTGCCCTCCTGGGCTAGGTGCTGGGTTGGTAGGAGATGTCTTACTAGATGCACTTTGGCAGGATGGAGGGAGGGTGGGTGGGTCCTTTGCCATTTTGAGGGTAGACATTTACCATCAAAACGCTAAAAGAACTGCCCTCAAACCCAAGTCAGAGGTCCCAAGCTAAAACTTCTCAGAAGACCCAGATGAGTGCTGTCTAAAACTCCAGGTCTCATGTCAGCTGGTCACCTCCACGGGCCCTGGCACAGCCAAGAGATGTGATCCCTACAGTGGTTCAGGTGGAGGCCACAGTGGGGAAGCCTGACCATCTGTATTTCTCTCGTTTCAGACTGCTCTGCGATGACCACAGCAAGGTACCGGCCCACCTGGGACCTGGCCCTTGACCCACTGGTGTCTTGCAAGCTCTGTCTTGGGGAGTATCCGGTGGAGCAGATGACAACCATAGCCCAGTGCCAGTGCATCTTCTGCACGCTGGTTGGTCTTTTGGGATAAAATATGTATTTACAATAATTTCAAAGAGAGCTTTTTGCTTTTGTTTGCAGAAACACCAAGCGAACCTTTGGACTAGCTTTTGTTTGATGGTGGAGTCTCTCTGCTGAGGCTTTCACACCATTACTGGAGGGATTCTTCTATGAGTCAGGCAGGCTCCCAACGCAGGAGATTTCCATTACAGTTGCTTATGATGCAGAAGCAATCACTTAAACAGAATTTTGGAAGCTAGTGATGCCATTTAAAAAAACTATCGTAACACATGTTCTCCTTCCTGGACAGGAAAAACTTGCCCACACTTCATTTTAAGTATAATTTAATAATCACATGCTTGAGATTGTCACAGTGCTACTCTAGTGACTATGTGTAGCTAGAACATTCAGTTACTGGTGTCATCTTTCACTGGTTTAGTGCTAAACTAGAATATGTATGTCTTAAAGTCACATTGAATTTTTTTTAAGATGTAACCAACATTCCGTTGGGGCCAAATGATTTGTTCTTAATGAATATAGGGACTTCTTTCTTTATTTTTTTAAAGATGACCGGTAAGGGGATCTTAACCCTTGACTTGGTGTTGTCAGCACCATGCTCTCCCAAGTGAGCCACGGGCTGGCCTTGAATATAGGGACTTCTAACTCAAGAAGTTTTGGGTTTGGGTCTAATTCAAACCCCAAACTTTATCCTAGAAAAGAAAAGTAAGTGTGTACGATTTACTTTTATTTAATCTCATGTAATTTTACTTGATTTTTCTTCCCATTCAAGGAATGGGTAAAACAAAAAGTAAACTCATAGAAATAGAAAGTAGGAGTTGGGGGAGGGGGGAATGTTGGTCACAGGGTACGAAGTTTCAGTTACGCAAGGTGAGTAAGTTCTAGAGACCTGCTGTACAGCACCATGACTACACTTAGTGATAATGTATTGTGCGCTCGAAATCTGCTTTGAGGATAGACCTTAAGTGTTCTATTCACACACCCAAATGGTGACTATGTGAGGTGATGATGTTTAATTCATTTGATTGTAGTAATCATTTTGCAATGTATATATATCAAAACATCAAGTTGTATACCTTAAATATATACGGTTTTATTTGTCAGTTATACCTCAATAAAGCTGAAAAATAAAACATTTGTCATTTTAAAAAGTACAGAAAAGGAAAAAGGAAAACTTTCTTCAAACTATAAAAAAAACAAAAGCGTTGCTTCTGAATTTAACTACTGTTATAAATGGACAGTAGAGACAGCCTGCCTATGTATTTTTCAAATGTGTAGGTTAAGTTTGTCACTCAGAAAATTATTCCTCCCTCTTATATTAGATGGGTTTATCCTTCCTGCCCATGTTTTTCAGGTGTTACTTCACTCGTGCCTCATGACCTCCTTGGAATGTAGGCAGAGCCAATATTATCCTCTCCATTTTATAGATAAGGAGACTGGACTTTACAGACATTTGAGTCTATGTCTTCTAATTCCTCGTTTATGCTAGACTTGGACTTTCTTAAGGGCAGAAGAATTTCTGGCTCATTCTCTGTCCCCAAGTTTAGTGCAGGACTCATAGGAGCTAATCAATAAAGGCTCACGGGATTGAACCAGAGTGAATAGATCTCAAGGCCGTAGTTAACATCCAAGAATGTTCCTCATTAAAGCCCCAGGAAAGTAACTTCAACCTGGAGGAAAGGAAATTGCTTTTGACATTTTTCTGAGATGGGGAAGTGTCAGAGGGAGTGAGACCGTGGAAGACGACACAGAGTCAGATCTTCAGTTCGCACGATGAACGGGACTCACTTTCATTTCTAGATGAGTGGGGATGGTTGAGCACATCAGGATGGATTCAATAGTTGGTTTCCTGCAAAATCACTTCCCTCTTGCTTGAAGGGACGTCTTCCACAGTGTCCACCAGTTGAGCAGTGTCCCCTCTGCCGAAAGTGCCTTTGAGCGTGTTTGCTGTCTCTGCAGTCGCCTGTGCACTGTCGTGAGCACATGGTCTGTGTCTCTCTTAAAATATTCCATTCTGCCTGGAGTTTTTGCCAAGGCTTTTCATTTTGTTTTGTTATTGTTGTTTTAGTTTTCTATTTCTAGAGAATTTTAGTAAAAATAAATAAGCAACTCTAATTCATACCAAAGTTATGTTTACATCAATGAATGCTAACAGAGAAAACCAGCGCTGTTTTCCCAAAGAGGGGCTGCTAGGGATACCAAGACACAGCGAGACAGCTGTATTTTTTCTGCAATTATTTATTAAAAATTAAAGTGTTGAAAATAGTCCAGCTTCTGTGTGCAGCTCACTGTGGGGTGAAGAGAAGGAGGCACGTGTGTGTTGGGAGGTTGAGAAGGGGAGGAGGGAGTCCATTCTGTGTAGGCTCAGGTCACCGCATGGCATGCCGTTGGAAGCCTGGGGAGGAGCCAGGCCTACGGCCAAAGGACCTGCAACTGTCCCTTTCCTGGGGGACAGACATGGGAAGGTAGAAAATTGTGTAAGAACAAAAGGAGGCAGTCATAAAACAATAGTCACTACAGAATTACAGGCAGGCTCTGAAGTGAGTTTATCTCAAGGAAGAAGGAGCTGGGAAACCTGATGTAGGGGGCCAGGCCTCCCCGCCAGCTCTGGTCTGACCTCAGTGGGCCCTGTCAACCTCATCTGTGCAGTGGAGATAAAAATAGTTTACCCCGAGGTTCCAACGGAAGAACATTTGCAAAGTCCCCATCACGTGGTAGGCATTCAGCAGGCCTAGTTCCTTCTCGTTTAACTTCTAAGTTTGGGTTTAGAATGGCAGAAATAACAGTTTGAGCATCTATCACCAAACGTATGTTCTGAGGAACATTGATCCTGAAAGATGCACTCATAAGTGAATTTTGCGGTTCGGTGGGTTTGCTAAACACTGCTCACTGCGTTTCTGTCTCCTGCCCCCCACCAAGACATTCCAGGTGCCCCAGAGCACAAGGAAAGCACAGAGAAATCTACAGCTAGAGACAAACTATTTAACCTCCGTTTCCAAATTTACTTGAGCAGGAAGCCAGTTACTAATATGGCACTGCCCCAAAACATGTTACTGTGGGATTTCCTTGCTTGTGGGTGTCTGGTGGCTTTAGGGTGAGTTCAGACGTCGTCTTTGTGATTTTGATGAGGCTGCAGAGAGCCTGTGCACCGGGGTCTGTGGGATGTGACCTGGACAGGAGAACTGTGTTGTGGACAAAGGGTCTCAGTGGTCCCAGGGACCACCTTGGTGCTGCCACATTCCTGGCACTATGCCAGGCTTTGGGAATTTGGAGGTGTTGAAAGCTACCAGTTATCTCTGACCATTCTGTTTTGGCTGGGTGTGAAGTGAAACTTTAAACAGACAAATGTAAACCTGAACATTTGTGTGCCAAAAAGTGAAATGTTACATAACCAACAGTTTCTCTGCTAAAAATGCTGAAAGGAGAGACATGGTTGTTGACACTTCCTTCACGTAAGGCAGCCCTGTCCTACTGTGAGAGCCAGTCCCATTCTCGTTATGTTGGTCAGTGATACAAGTCCTGTGAATAGTGGCCCCAGAGATTCATGGACCAAAACCGAAGATGTAGAAGACATTTAGGCTTCCAGTCAATGGCAGAATAGACCGTCCCCAGCGTCACTCTCTCCCACAAATCAACCAGTTTACAACTATAAAAAAGCAACGACAGTGAAGCTGGGGATGCTAGAGCAGGAGAACAGACCTACAGAGTGCATGAAGGTGGGAGAAGCCACGATGAGAGAGAGAAAAAACTGCTCTGACCATTTCGAGCCCCAGTCACTTCAAGACTGGAGCTGCTGAGTGCACGGAGCAAGCTGGCAAAAGCCGCAGTTGTGCCCTTCAGATGAAGTTGCTTGGAGGCAGCAGGAAAGAAAAGGGCCTTGGTGGCCCCCAGGCAAACAAGACCACTAATAGGGTTCCCGTGAACCTACAAAGGAGCTAGGGACCACAACAACTGAACAAAAGGAGCCACTCAGAGGCTGATGAGTCATCTCAAGGGACCAGAGCGCAGCCTGTCCCATGGGAAGTGTTTGCAGCACGGGCAGTGGGGGAGAAGAGCCCACCAGGAGAACACTGGGGCACAGCAAGGACAGTGGATCTGCACGCCAATCAGCACAGGCCCACTCCGTGTAGACTGGTCAGGAATATAGAACTGCAGGGGGTGCAGTTTGCTGAAAAGACACAGGCCCAGACCAGACTTTCCACACAACGCAGGTGTACTGGACCTCATGAGAGCTGGAAGTACCTACAAGATCAACAATTAAAATCTGAATTGCACAAAAAAAGAACTGCAGGGGGTGCAGTTTGCTGAAAAGACTCAGGCCCAGACCAGACTTTCCACACAACGCAGGTGTACTGGACCTCATGAGAGCTGAAAGTACCTACAAGATCAACAATTAAAATCGGAATTGCACAAAGGAAGTACCTACAAGATCAACAATTAAAATCTGAATTGCACAAAAAAAAAAAGAAAGAAAAACTTCCCCAGGGAATCAGCAGCAAAGCAGCAATTTAGCTCAACTCCAAGGCTCAAGTGCTGGTTCCCACAGGAAGTTTCCCTATTTTAGAAGTAAGCAAAGGACACAAATTAGTTCCAGTGTAGAGTTTAAGTGGTAGGAATTGCAAATAATCCAACATAGAAATAAAAGAAAAACAAAATGTCCACAGACTTGAGACAAAGTTCTGATACTAAGCAGTAAAAGTCTTAACACCACCAAAGAACAACTATAAAACTTAGAAGGACCGGAAGCCCCCTCGGCTCTCAAGCCAGGTATGGGGGAGGGCCTTGGGGCTCCGCCACACCCCCCAGATGACCACACCCAGCCCAGTGATGACGACTAAGCTGCCACCGGTGGTCTGAGGTTCTGAGGACCACAGGCTCCCGTGGGGCATATACCCCAGACGCCTCCTCTGGGTTCTGAGTGGCTCAGAGATGGGTGAGTCCAATAGTGAGGGGTCCTTCTGCTGAGCAGAGGCCTCGTCCTGATGGGGGAGGGCC